AATTAATATTCAAAATTTTATTAAAAAATTTAAATATTAAAAAATTAGTAAAAATCTTCGCAGGCAAATTTGCCTGTATTACAATTTAAGAGATAAATATAAAAACTATTGTCAATAATTCTAATAAATTAGCTGGATATCAACCTAGCAAAGATGTCGATTTAGTATAAATACCATTACTACTAGGATATACAATATATACGTTTTTACAAAATAAATATTTTAAATTATATATATCAAAAGATAAAAATAATTACCTAATCTATAAATGGATAGAATTTGGTAATGATTCTTCTTTTAAAATATACAAAATGAAGGATCTGATTATACTGCATTTAAATCAATGTTTTAGCGATATAAGTTTGAAAAAAATAAATTATTTTCTTGGGTACTAAAATTTTTTGATAAAGCAAATATTCAATTTCTTCAAAATATTGGTTTTCAAAGATATCTGAATTTATTTCAAACATATATAAAAACTATTAAAGTATTTCAAAAAGAAACTACTCTAAATAATGCATTAAAACATAAAGCTAATGAGCTAAATAATAAAATATTAAATGAAAATCAATCATTCGTAAAAGGTATTATATTAGAACAACAAGACAAATTACTTACACCAGATTGTACACAAGCATTAATAGTAAAATACAACAAGTCAGTACAAAAAATTTATCAAATGTCAAAAACTATTAATCAGTTAAAATTAAAAATTTTAACACTTACTATGAAAGACCAAAAATCAGAATCAAATTCTAAAGAGCAACTAGATGAAATCGTAGAAGAAGTTATTAAAAATGCAGAAATTGGATTGGCAATTTTAGTAGATATAAAAAATTATTTATCATTAGTTCTATCTCAACCATGTTCTAATTGTGAATGTAATAATATTACAAAGAAAACTTACATAATTAATGCTATAGGTTTTTCTGTAAAATGTTGTATAATATGTCAAACTTGTGGTACTATAATAGAAAATAATAATGAAAATATAGATATCCGATTTTCCAAAGCAGTTGCAGCAGCTGGTTTAATAGGGGTCTTACTTACCATGCATTACAAAGTACATTAGCAAGTATAGGAATTACAAAACAATATTGTAGAACTAGTCATTATAACTATTAAGCTCCAATATTTGAATATTTAGTAAAACAAGCAAAAGAATCAGCACAAAATTGGTTAATAGTTGCATTAGACTATATGCAAAAAAAAGAGCTAAATATTTACCTGTAAGTTTTAATTGCTTATAGAGCCATGGACACAATGCACGACAAGCAAGTGAAGAATTAATTTTTCAAGAAACAATTCTAGGTATAATATTTATTTATTAAATAATTATACATGATTATTAATTCTATTCACATTTCTATTATAAACCTGTAATTGCATTTTATACTGTGAAAAAATCGCATATTATTAAAGAAAAAGAAACAAATAATATTAATATAATTCATGAAGGAAATTTTGATAAAAGTTCACCAATTTTGATCAAAAACTCTTCTTGATGATCCTTTTTACCACAAAAAAATCCAAAATTCTTAAAAAATACAAGCGTCTGTAAAGGTTGAAACAGTATGGGAAGTAATCCTTAAGCTCTGTAACTCGGCAGTTATTATTTAGAGGTAGTTCTTATATGCTACCTGCTAACTTTTTTAGAGTTTATCACTCACTATGGGGGCCGGGCACTTGTCATTTAGAAATAGTTCTCATATGCTATTTGCCGACAAGCTCAGAGTTTATCACTTACCTGAAAAAATAAGGAGAGTACTGGTGCCTTCCTATGGATTTAGTGTGTTGAGTAAAGAAAATACACACTCCTTTATTAAACAAAACAAAGTGGTTTCATCTCTTTTCTCCGCCTTCTCGCCGCTCTTCCAAAATTTCCCACAAAAGTGGGCAAAACAGCTTACCTCCTCCAAAAAATCGGCATTGTTTATATCTACCAAATCTGGACAGTTCCAGCAGATTGCGATCACATGTCTGGTTTGTTTTGTTTATGGACCGTGCTGCTTCACGTAATACCGAAGTTGGCCGCTTACGTCGTTTAGAAGTCCGGATGACCTAGTCAGAAAATTTACTTGATAAGGCGAAGCTTTACACTAGAGATATACAAATATCATATTTGT